GAGGAGTATGGCAACGAAAACTGTGACACGAGAATTTTATATATTAGATAGTGTTATATTTCAATTTTACCTCTAATTAAGCCAGGTAAAACTGATTTATAAATTATTGCACCTAATTCAATCCGAGATTCTACACGAAGATATATTGAATTTTAATATATTTTCTATGACTATGAAGCCGTAGTATAAACATAGTATAAAATATATATGGGCAGTGGGTGGTGTTAGATGACATGGAAGGTCGGACAGTAAGCGATACAGCCTTCGGGGTCGCGAAAAATGATACTAAAGATCCTATGGATAGCTTCATACATTACTGAACAGTTCTGTCGTTCTAACCTCTGGGCAGGACCTCCCAAGTACCTGCAGCTCCTTCCACTTGACAGTATTCAACGAAAAACTGTTCGAATCGTCGGTGACCAATCCCCCTTTCCAGGCGGTTCGATCCTTTGCCGTTGCATAGAGATGTGGGGTCACTCAGCATCTTCTCACCGCATTTACCATGGAGAGTGTTGAGTGGAGTTGTTCGGATAAATACCTGCAGCTGAGTTTTATTATCGGACGTTGAGGCAGAATACGAAATTCCACCTGTAATATCTTGACGTACATCGTTCCACAACTGAGCGTTTTTTAAGGCAGTTTTTGCCGCGCTCCACCACACCTGCCCACTGAAGTCTTCCCTAACTGTTCTATTAAAATAAATTGTGCGTGTACTAGGTGTACACACGTAAGAAGTGAAACTTCTTTATGATCTTATTTTTCGAAAAATGATCTACTATATGCAACTTTACAGAAATTCGTTAAATTAGATAAAGTTTAACAAAAGGCTTTTATTATCATAGACATGAATACAAATATTTCATTCTACCTTATTACTACGAAGATTATTATAGAATTTCATTAATTGTAATAGAATTATTACTAACATTGAAAAACGTGACGATTTGCTACAAAATTTCTCCCATACGTCGATAAAGAAGTTTCATTCCAACGCAGATAAAGAAGTTTGACTTCAAAAAGCAACATGGCGCGTAACCGAAAAATGTGACGCGTAACGAAAAAAATGTTACACAAAATTTTTTTCCAACCTCGATAAAGAAGTTTCACTTCAAAAAGCCATCTGAGGTCAAAATCCAATTAGGGTTGTAGCACCAGTGGATTACTAAAATTATTATATATAAAACGCATAACACCATCCATCCTCCCATATCTGTACTATCACCTTCTAAATTAAAAGCAATACTTACAAGTCATTTATTAGATTACAACGCGTGCACGCCTCGTACTTAGTGTTAAAAAATGTTAAAAGCTATTGCAATATTTTTTCTTGGTAAGTGAAAATTTTGTGATGTACCATCATAATGCATATATTTTTAAGTTTCCATTATATAATATTCATTATTCTTTTAAAAATAAGATTAGTTAAAATAGATTTTAGTATTTTTTTTCTCTCTAAAAAGCTTGGCAGTCTTGGTAGTTTCATAATTATATTATGAATTTGTTTTTAATCATTGATAATCATATCATGATAGAATCGCTTTTATCGCTTTTTACTCACTTTGTGAAGAAATTATGAAATCAAAGAATGAAAATGTAGTCCTAGCAAGAATAGTCTCTCAAGTTTAAAACTTATAAAAAGACTCTTGGTTCGAAAATCTCTCATTTATAAATGGGATTAGGGGTATTTATATAATGTAACGTTTGGTTAACATCTACTTACAGGGGTAACAGCCGCCCTACCCCAAGTTCCCTACGATTACTACCACGTGCTACACTTGCCCCACTCACCCCCATTATACCCAGTGTTTGACCGGCCTCCCCACACGGAATTCAGCTGTGCTGGACGCCCAAGAGGCTACTATGCTGACGTGCAAGCTGGATGTCAGGTATTTATAAATCTCATTGGTTACGGAATATTCACAGATTGTCTTTGATTGAAATTGAAGGTGAATAAATTGAAATTTTTCTAAAAATAGTCCTTTGTTAGACAAGTTTGGACACTCTTACCTCAAATACATACCTACACTTATCTTGTACTTGCTCACCTCTCACGATACTCCGGTGATATTAGAGACATTGGGCTATGATTTAAAGGGAGAAAAAAGAGAGCGGTGATCTCTCTATATTCACACTTTTATAACCCCTTTATATATATATATGTACTCAAAATAATCTCAAAATAACTTTATATAGGGTAAACAAGTACAGTTTTGAACGTCAACAGAAAAGATGTTGAATTGATTCTAAATTTTCATTTACTACCAGTTCGCAAGTCAAGGGCGTGGAGCGGGCAAGAAGAACTGGCAATAAACTCTCCGCCACTGTCTTTAATCGCCAAGTTTTGAGTCAAATGCAAATTGTTTGAACAATTAAATCCCAAGGATTAGAATAATTTTAATATTCGTCAAATTTATAAAAAGCTTTATTAATTTACGATTGACGAAAGTTTTGAATTTATTCAGTAATAATTATCTAATTTCGCTTGGGAGTTTGTTATAAAAACGAATACAATTTTCATATAAGGAGTGGTTTATCTTCTGGATATATGACATGACATTGCTATGACAATAGTTTGCCACGGCAGACGCAGTCTAGTGCTGTATTTGATATTTTTGCAATTCTCGTACATTAAAGGAAAAGTGTTGCCATAACGATAAACGAATCTAAGAGTCCTTTGTCAAGCACTATCGTCGGAAGCACTTACGTATAGATAAATTACGCAACCCACAGAGCGTAAATATTTTTGTGTTTATTTTATCTGAATAAGGAATTATAGTGTGCTATTTATTACAGGCTTACCATTTCTGCTGGCGTCATCGTCTGGTCAATACTGACCTTTGTACGAACGGGACTCTTTTCAACGAACAGTTTCAGGTATTTATTGGACAGTGCTCGTAACAGCACTCGGGGCAAATGTTTTCGTATTAGGTAGTATGGAATTGAGTAATTGGTTAAAATGCGTAATAAACGTAAAGAGAATGCTATTATACGACATCGTGAACCAGAACTCCTACACCACCGAACACCAGAAATTAATTGGGCTGGCGCCCTCAATCGCGTAATATTTGAGGGCTGAATAAAGTGCTATTACGACTAAACACACAGTGTCATTTCGTGATAGTGTTTGATGCAACTAAATTCTGGAACAATCTGCTACCTCCAATCCACAAAATTACTCCTATTATTAAAATTCAGAAGTTTTAGTAACCCTATTGGCTGATGAATGTTGTTGCACTGTCTTTTGTTTACAATTTACTGTAGAGACTGAAGGCTAATCTGTAAAGCAGACATGGGAATGTATACATCGTCATAATTCTGATATTACTTCTGGTACTTATTATAAAAATATTTTTCAGGTGTGCGACCATTTCTACAATGTACGTTGTGGATCACCTTACGAAGACCTGTAGTTAATAAATTATAATAATATATTTAAATTAAAATGTATTTATTTGTGTGGCATGTTAAGCGGTTCGATGTGTACTCAAAATACTCGTAATTGTTAGTAAACGTTGGTTGATTTATCAAAATATAGTTAAATACATATATATGTAACAATATCGTTTAATTATCTATTATGAAAAAGAATATAAACACAATGAAATGCGGTCGAAAAAAATTTACGACTGCAAATACAAGTGATGTTTTTGATATAAAAACCGGATGTTACTGAAATGCTTTGAGTAAAAAAATTAAATTTTAAATATTCGCGTGCCCTTATTTGTATGGAAAAAATGTTACAATGTCTTTGATCAGTGGGACACGCTTGGCCTGGACTTCCGATTTCTCTTCTTCCTTTTTCTTAATATGTAAGAAGAGAAACAGCCTGTTTTTTGGGGTCTATGGTATGTCGGAGCGAATGTTAAATGCGCAGATGGAAAGCCTTAGCTGTATTTCTATCGCACGAACTCAGGGTTTTGTCTTACGCTATTGCACACGCTCAACGCTCACTAAGCTGCTACCAACACTGCTCTGTTTTTAACAAAACGAAGCATATTATTCAGTAAATTCCTTGTCTCAAATACCATGTATCTAAGAAAAAATGGACAGCCAAATAAAAAACTGTTCAAAGTACATTATTTTATTAAAGAAAATATAGAATTACTACTATTTACATAGAAACAAATTCATAACAGAGTATATTATCATGAGTATTAAAATGGCAGTGATTACTTAACCAGAAGAAAGAAAAATATGTTTTTGAAACCGACTGTTATGGAAGTATGAAAGTATCTATACTTATTACAAAGCCGCCATTTTATTTATTTGATTAAACGTGTTCAAAAACGAGTTCAAATATCGTGAATAGTATATATAACAAGAAAAGCAATATTCACATCATTAACGCGATTAAAAATTTATGAATGAGTTAGTATAGTGATATAACATATTTTATATCACCGACAAAATAAAAATGATTTTGTACAAATACAGAGAGGGAATATATAGAATGCATAGGGTATTTAACATTTATAGTAACATATATCTAGAAGACTACGAAAAATGTTTTACATAGAAATAATACTAGTTCAATCTAGTCAACATTTGTGGCTTACAAGATTCTCAACAAATACATTTTTTCCCTATTATACGTTTGAAGTTGAAGCCACTGCTTGAGACAATTATTTCACATATTCCAATAGATGGCGCTGTTCATATATAGTAATGTTACGGTTGCTGAAAAGGTTGCTAACACCCCTCGTGCCAATTTAAGCGATTGATATTTATGAGGAACATAATCTTAGTTTAGCCAACATTATGTTTCTGAGTACCTAATAGTATTCATAGATGTAGCAGACACAATATAAATATAGAAATAAAGTTTTATATTTCTATACCATCAAAATTTTAAATTCAGAATAAATATTATTAATACATATTTCGATTCGGTCTAGTCTATCTATTTATCATTTCCTCATGACTGCCAAACGCTTGGCTAAAGCCACAGATTCAAAAAGTTCATGAGTTCAATTTATAATTTTAAATTCTTAATTCAAATCTCAATAGAAAAGTAAGGCAAAACATAGAACCATAGATAAATAACTACTAGATAGGACAACAGCTGAATCGGGCTCATAACCAATTTCATTCTTCTTGTTTACCAACTCTATCTCATCTAGGATTCTCTTCTCTTCTAGTGCTAATAGAGTGGCTTCGTCGATGGTTCTCATTAGATTGTAGTTGGAGTAGTTTCCTTCTGGAAGTCGAAGGTGTAAGCGTCCATTTGAAATAACATAGGCTGTGCGTCTGCTTAAGTTCTCTATTCGGTTCGCTGGAAAAAATATATACCTTTAAGACTAATTGTTGCCTAGATGAATTATTATTAAAAGGACTGTTTAAACTTTCACCTGTCAAACAAATTATTTTAATAACGTTTATCGTCCTAGGTTTCTCTTGTTAATTTTAAAAAATATAACATCAAGCTGTTAAGTAAATTACAATAACATATGTGCACTAACATAGTAAAGTTAGCCGTTTAGTTACTATAAGCAATAACTTCCATAAATTTAATTCATAAAACGAAAGAACGAATTCCATATATATATTTTCTTACCATCAGGTAGGTTTAGTGTCTTCAAAGCTTCTTGCAGTATTGGCTCGTCTACAATCTTATTATATCTATCCACAAAGTCTGTGTATGCATCCTTCTCGCTCTCACACGCGCCGCGGAAGTCGTCTGTGTCAATACTCCACACCATGAGACCACCGAGACCGTAGTCTATGGCCAATCTAGAATAACCATAGTAATTTAAGTCTAAATTTAAAAAAAATTGGCTTTGGTTAAAATTATCGTAATAATTATTAAGCAACAATTATGAAGATTATTAAGGAAAATTCTCAGTTATTACACGCTTTATATTAGCTTCACCTGTATGTATGTATGTATGTAACCGACTCCTTCGGACTCGATTTTGACCCACTTTAAACGGACAGATTTAATTCAAACTTTGTACACTTATAAATAATCAGCAACAATATAATAATTTAATAGGTTTATCTCGAAAAAACAATGAAATTTTTTTTAAGTCCACAAAGCAATACGATTAAATTGAGACAACACGTATTGCTGCTAGGACTAAAAACAAAAACTGACACAATTTTGTTTGTTAAGTTAAATATAATTTTGAGCACTAATATTAATTTTCTCTCATTACAGGATTGCCAGCATTAAGAGTACTCTGCTTCAGTCCCTATTAAAAGTTGTCGTAGTGTTTTGTTTTACAGTAAGTAAGTTTTTATTAACTTAAACTGACAATAATTAATGGTAGTAATACTTAAATCTGTATCTGTTTCATGTCAATCTAATACGCAAGTGATAAGCCTCGTAAAATAAAAAAAATAAAAAATAAAATATGTTTATTATGGGACATAAGATACATGTATCACTTATTCCACGTCATTAAATTTCAATTTGTAGGCATCCCTACTCATCGGCAAAGAAGACAGAGGGTGTAGGCCGAGAGAAAAAGCCGGCGTAAAAAACTCTCGGTACTCTTTTAAAATAGCAAATCATCAAACAACACTTATTTTAAAACAAATATCCCAATTAATTAGAAGTAGCCTGTCTAGCACTAGTCCCAGGCCCTTTTATCAACTAGATAATCGTTGACTTTATAGTAAGCCTTTTTACACAGCTTTTCTTTAATACATTTCTTAAATTTATTGAAAGGCAGAGATAAAAGAGCCTCTGGGATTTTATTAAAGAAGAGTATCCCTTTCCCTTTAGATAGTCTAGTACGGGGAAATTGCAGCCTGCGTTTGTTCCGTGTATTGACATTGTGCGTATGTTCTATTCTAGTAAACTTATCACTATTTTTGTATACATACATAATATTTTCATAAGTATATTTCGAGGGAAAGGTAAGTATATTAATTTCCTTGAATTTATCTCTAAGAGATTTATCCCTACATTTTAAATTATAGATTGCACGAAAAGCCCTCTTCTGCAGGATAAAAATAGTTTCGACATCAGCAGCATGACCCCATAATAATAAGCCATAAGTCATTAAGCTATGAAAGTAACTAAAATAAACAAGTCTAGCTGTATCGACATCAGTTAGTGAGCGAATTTTTTTAACCGCGTAGGCTGCAGAACTAAGTCTCTTCGCCAATCCGTTAATATGAGGGGACCACTGAAGATTTGAATCCATGGTGATTCCGAGAAATACAGTTGTATCATCCAGATTCAATTCCTCACCGTTTATAATTGGTCTAGTATCCATCGTGTGCCTGACACACGCCGTCGACTTTTTGGGTCTAAGGCAAGCCGGTTTCCTCACGATATTTTCCTTCACCGTTAAGCGATTGTTAAATGCGCACATAGAAAGAAAGTCCATTGGTGCACAGCCGGCGATTGAACCTAAGATCTCAGGGACGAGAGTCGCAAGTTCAAGCCACTAGGCCAACTTTTTAATAATACTTACTTGACTTTAATGGCAATGGATCTTGCATTATCGTATGATATAACTCTTGCACCGTCCCGCAAGTACGGAGTTGCGGTCTGTTCGTGCCAGTATTGGGTCCATGTCGCTGACTTATTTGTTACTTCCGTACAAATCTATCAAATCAAAACACATAATAACATCAAAAACAAAACTTACTAACTTAATGTACATTTATTTATGAACGTCGATAATTATTCTTCTAAATATACGTATACTGCCAGTTCTTATTTCAAGGGTGTAGATTTGACGAGAAGAACTAGCAATACTCTGTTTCAAATCTCTCTTAAATCTCTTTTAAATCACCAAGGGTTTTTACATAATTGCAGCTTTTTAATATTAAGTATCATTATTCATTATATTATATTAATATTAAGTATTATTATTATTATGTATGAATGTAAGGAAGTTATAACAGATTGGCTAAAAACTTTAACTTATGAGGAAACTGAGCACATTTTAGTACGAATTCGCTAGTTTGACACACACATACATAATTATATACTTAACAACAAGTATACACTCACACACACACACACACATGCGCACATAAACACCCAACCACGCATGCATAGAATAAGTTCATAGAATCGTCAGAGAAACTATGAGAATTACATTTCATTTTATTCAATGTTTTACCGGCTTTGCTTCTTAGCTGGGTTTTGTTTTGTTTTGTATTCTTTTATAACAACTGTCTCAATATTGTATAAATAAGGGAAGTAGCGAGCCAACCCCAACACAAGTGTCTCTGACTACTTACGGGGGCTGTCTCAACTCATGTATTTAATGTAAAATTTGAGATACAAATAAACATTTTCATTTTCATAATGGAATATAAGATACAGGTATCAGTTATTTCACGTCATTAAATTTGTCTCAGTAGACATTTCTGCTCATCGGCAAAGAAGACAGAGGGTGTAGGCCGAGAGAAAAGGCCGGCGTAAAAAACTCTCGGCACTCTTTTAACAAATCATCATACATAATGACTATGGAAAACATAGATAGAAGAAACCAGAAGGAGGACGGTTGGCTCTTTATTTGTATTAAATTACAAAACTGAACGGAAATCTTGCAGTCCAATTTCCGGAAGCGGCACCTGTTAACAGGCATGATATGTGAGCCAGCCATTGTTTTACCCAACCATATTTGAGGGCATCAAAGGTTACCCACATTAGTTGACAAGGCTTCTAGAAGTTTTGTTTTAAGTAATATTTTTAATAATTGGCCAGAACAAATTTTTTGTCCAATATTCGGGACTAGTTTTAAGTTGTTAGTCATCTAGCATACTTTCGTAGCTTTATGATTTGAAGTTATTGACCTACCTATAGTTTATACAAGATACAGACTGTATATGTGTTTAATACAATACATATTTACGTACACACAAACTTATTACACGCTTTATATTAGCTTCACATGTATGTATGTATGTATGTATGTAACCGACTCCTTCGGACTCGATTTTGACCCGCTTTAAACGGACAGATTTTATTCAAATTTTGCGCACCTGTCAAAGATCGATGACAATGCAATAATCCGAAAATGAATAAATGATTTTGACTTTTTGACTATTAATAAAATGTAATAGTCAAAAAGTCAAAAGTCAATCAAGTTATTCTGTTGCTTGCATAAATAAATAGACTGTACATATATTTACCTCATTATAACCCATGAACCCAGCTTCCTTAGTTAAAGGTCCGGGGAATCCCATACTCTTGACAGTTGTGACTCCGAACAGAATTTTCTTAACGCCAGGATTCTCCAGAATGAAGTTACGACCGTACATGGGAAGACCTAGCACCATCTTGTAAGGACTGACGCCATGAGCTAACATGTATTTGATGGTGAATTCCTGAAAAATCAATTTTATACTAAACTTTATAAAAATTTATAATGTACCAACGTTACCTGTCCACATCGTATCCCTAACTTTCGTACTAACTACTAACTGACGTGAGACTGTTCTAAAATAATCGTGATTCATGTGCACTTTTTATTTATCATGTATTCTATTTTAGTTTAGTTTTTTTTTGTATTAATAACTACATATATGTATTATGTATTTTTGCACTTCTTGCTTACCTTATCTAATTTAATACATTTTTTACAGTGGTTGCCTGGAAGAGATCTCTCGAAAGCGATAAGGCCGCCAGTTCATTTATAATAATACTATATAAATAAAAAGCTAGATTAACACTACTAGACAAGATACATACAAAATTCTATCTGACCTGACATCAGGCTAGAACAAGTCGTCTCTCTGTTAATCCATTTCTTACCACGCTTAACACGTCCTGATCGTTGGTCCCTCGTAGCGGGGCATTGGCCCCAACAACACCGTCCCAGGTGCCGTGGTAATCGTAACACATCATATGCAAGAAGTCCAGATACCGACTCAACTTGGCGAGGTCATATGCTGATTCCATGGTCTCTTTGCCAGCTCCGAGCGCAGCCGTCAGTATGTAACCTCTAGACTCGAAGGCTTCTTTTAGTTCCTGAAAAATGTTATGGTATGGTAAACACATTGTTGCACATTTAGCAGCAATATTCGATAAGAAATTAAGAACTACTCCAAGTTATATGGCCATATTCCAAAGACTTTTTTAAAGTTAGTGAATTTTTCTATACGGATGTCGGATACGTCTTATATACCTACGTCTTATATATATCTTTTTGATGCATTTATGTTCTACCACGTGGTAGATTGTATCCCTAAATGCTCTTCGAAAAAAGAGTTGCCAATATACGAAACGAAGCACACTTTAAGATGTTATCATTGGAGAATCGTAGAAAATTATTCATATCGTTTGCATTTAAGATATTTTAGGAAGTTAGGGAAATCTGATTCTTAAGAATCAGATTTCCCTAACTCTACGTGTCAAGGCTGTACATTTTGCTCACTCAGGCTTTCTTAGTTTCATAAGCGTGCCGATTTCCTAATCCGTCGGAGTTACGCCCCGAGAGTATAGCCAGACGTAGGTACTCTCTTCACCTGTTGCATTGCAATAATTCAATTCATAGCAATTAACTAAATCATGGGAGTTACGCCCCGAGAGTATAGCCAGACATAGGCACCCTCTTCAACGGTTACATTGTATTCATTCGTTACATAGAAATTAATAGTTCAGTATTTCGCTTTTATTATATTGTAGTACGTGAGTGGTTAATATAGTGTAAACATAAACTCCTCTATTATTTAAAACACCCCAATGACCCAGGAACCGTACACCAAAATTTTAACTAAGATCAAATTTCGTGTACCCCCGATACTCCAGGCATCTTCCCATCTGTCCCTCCTTTTAGAAGAACGTGTTTCCAAAATTTTCTGTTATCCAGATGAGAATAGCATAAACGCGCTAGGTTTGGATATCCATAGTTGCTCCTCTCACACTTTGAAATCAATTTGCCTTTGGTTTTTATAATATTATTTTTTAGTTTAATTTTTCTATCTCTTCGGGATTGTTATTTTGTACCTATGTACGAGTATCACATTAAATATTTTATTGTATTTTTATATAAGAATAACAATTACTTACCTTGACTAATAACACATAGTTTGCTTTGTCTTCAGGTCTACCGTCACGCCTCGTCGGGTACTCCCAGTCCAAGTCTAGTCCGTCAAATTTGTATGTACTGAAATAAAAATTGTTTAAATTATCAATATACGGAGAAAAGAAATCGCTCGAAATAGAGATCGTTTAGACATCTGCACTTTCAGATCAAATATACAGTAGTAGAGAGAATCATTCTAGAATATATAAGAATCATTATTCAAAATGGATAATAAGAAAACTAAAATAAATTTAAAAAGTCTGCTCCTTGTGGCCTTCAATGGTAGGAATGCGAAACCTGTTGCGCGAGGAGAGCACCAGCTCTGGGGTCTCCGGTACGATTTACCAAGCCCAACTTAAATCTTAAAACTATACCTATACGCGACAAAACTTACTCCAAGAAAAGCAAGACGCTCTGCACAAACTTTGCCCTCGTTTCTGGGCTAGCCGCCATTATTGAATACTTCAGAGAACCTTCGTTCCATCCTCCAATAGCTAACGTCACTTTAAGATGCGGGTACCTCTCTTTCAAAGCCACCATTCGTTTGTAACCCGCTTTGCCGTAGTCCTTTTCAAGATCTTGCCAAGGGTCTGAAAATATAATCTTGGATTTATAAAGAGAAGGATTGATTAAGATAAATCTAAAAGGTATATGCAGATTATTTCTGATATACCTTTTCCATAGACAATGCTACGAAATGTAGACTACTTCATATTAATATGAACTAGCTGTGCGAGGTGTCTTTGCGTTAAGTAATAAGTGCTAAGTTTATAAGACGGTTTGAAAGACACTAGTGAGTGGACATTAAATTAACTTTTTTTTTGAACCTGATATTAAGTGATACCGCCGCCGCCCATGGACACTCATTGCCAGAAGGCTCGCAAGTGCGTTGCCGACCTTTCAAGAATTGGTACGCTCTTTTCTTGAAGGACCCAAAGTCAAATTGGTTCGGAAATACTTCAGTGGGCAGGTGGTTCGACATAGTGGTGGTGCGCGGCAAAAACTGCCTTAGAAAACGCTCAGTTGTGGAACGACGGACGTCGAGGTGATACGGATAGTATTTTGTATTCTGCCTTGACGTCCGATACTAAAACTCAACTAACAAGAATTCGTACTTTATGATATATATTTAGTAGACTAGTACAGTCGAATTAAAATAAAATGATTAAAATAGTTATTGATAATTTTTAAAAGAGTAAGTATAGAGTTTCTTGCCCATTCTTCTCCATATGAAACTACCTTTTGGAAGGGGCAGCGAGAGTTGTTTTAATATTTTTATGTTGTAATTTTGTTTTCAAAAGTGCCTTTTTAATAGGCCTAATTGAAAGTAAATGTTTTGACTTTTTTATATTATATATCATAGTCGTCTATAACGTCTGTAAATGAACACTCACAATAAATTGGCAAGATAAGTCTGTTTCACCAAGTAAACAAATTATTCGACTGTATAAGATTACACTGCTTTTTGCGCAGTGAATTCTAATGTCCCCTACACTAATAATAAAGTGTTTTATTCTTTTGTTTAAGCGAAATAAGTCTTAACATTTACGGAATATTTCAATTGTTTTCAACATTACATAACTACTAACTACGTACTTATATGTTATGAAAAATAACATTTATTACATACTGAAACATAAATGTTAATCAATCAATCAAATCAAAATACGTTTATTCAATTTAGATGCGACTTAGGGCATGCTTATGAATGTCAAAAACGTTTACAAAATTCGCGAAAGAGCAAGACTACGCCATCCGTTCGCAAAACTACCAGGAGGCCTTGTTCTGAACTATATAGAAGGACGCGCAAGAAACTCAGCAAGTTTTACCCTCCCGCTACATTACAATCATTCAAAGGAAAATGTCATAAACCACAACGTCATTAAAGTTACGTCAGTTCAGTCATAAGGTGATTTAACACATTCACCATTACACACAAATCAAATTATAAGAATATAATTAGAACTATTATAATTTATATTATAGTTATTGGTGCGTATCGCATCTCTTAGGCAACGAGTATTTTTAAATATATCATGTTCAATGTAACTTTTACTGACGTTGTTGCAACTGCAAAACTGGATAAATTTTATAAAACTATCGTCAATTCAATTACCCAAGCTCTTAATGCTATGGCCATGTTCGTCCAGACCAGCGAATGAATATACTAGATGAGTGCAGAGAGAAGGCTCCAGGTCGCTCTGCTCGAACTTGCCTGCACCAGTTCTGTAAGCAGCCCAACTGGCTACGTAACACACCACTACTTTGCCATGCATAGGTCCTGGAAAGAAAAAAAAAGTGCGTGAGTACAAAGTGAGAAGTTAAACTTCTTTGTAAATTAATTATTACTAAGTTAAAAGCCCCAATAGATGATCATGTACCAGTATATTAATACTCCATGTATTTTTATATCTATATTCACACTGTTTTCACACTGTATACCTTACGTGCTAATGATGATATAAATAAATAAAAAATCTGCGTTTACTGCGACAGAATTGCTATCTAAAGTTCTATTCTGTAACGTGTTGCTTCATGCTACGTTCACCCTTTCTGACTCTCTCTCAATCGCTCTCTCCCTCTTCTTCGACAAAAACGCTGTACATCTTCGTGACGCTAATATTATTATTATTGCATTTCATCCTCATGTGCCTAAAGAAGTTTCACTTCAAAATAGTTAACCAAAATAACCACCGTCAACCCAGGCCGTCATTTTCTCTTCTAATAAGTCCTTCTGTATATGACACACGCCGTCAATTTTAGGTCTAAGGCCTGGCCAGATTCCAGCTTCTCACGATGTTACAAGGTCCGTAATTTGTTTGTCAATCAACTGCATATCACGTGATATGGACAACACCTCATGCCTGCACGATATTGTCTGTAAAGATATTTTATACGTGAAAGTATATTGTCTCGGCGAAAAATGTTATGGTCCGTTATTTCTGTCATTTTAAGCATTGTGCTATGTAATATATGTTTTGTAATGATATTGGTTTCTTCATAATAATTGTTGAATGTGGACGTCAAAAATGCATTTAATTCAATAAGGGACACTTTGGTGATAAAGGCTTCTGAAAACCTTCCAGAAATATATAACTATCTTTTACAGTGTTACTCAGAGCCATCAAAATTATCATACAAGAGTTACAAACTCTCATCAGAAGTTGGTTGTCAACAAGATGATCCTCTTGGGCCGGCTATTTTTAGTCTCGCAATAAAACGTCTGGTATCTTGTCGATGGTACTCTAGGAAGGAACACAGATTTGTACTTTCAGATTTTAGTTCAATACGTGAGAATTTGGACACGAATAAGTATCGCAATACAGCGAGGAAATGCAGCCAGCGTTCAAGGTCCTTTTTGAATTTTCTTTTTATTAATTTTTAATTATTTTTATTATAACATAAGGTTAAGAAAATAGAAAATACTGTATATTTGATTTTTTTTATTACTAATAAACATATCATTAAATATTGTAACGAATATATTCAGAAAATACTGGCCCGATATCAATAATAATTTTACACCATTCGATTAAATAGATTATATTTATTTTTAAAATATTTAAACAAGTTCAACTGTACAAAGCCGGGAAAGGCTTAGGCGCTAGTAATAAATAAAAAGGTAAAATTTAATCACAAAGCTATGACACGTTCTATAAAGTCAGTGAAAACAAAACGACATAATTGTTTAACCGTTACAAACGTCATCCAATTGTCTGAATCAAGAAACCGTATAATTTTTAAATAATTACCTTCACAAAAAATATTCTAGAAATATATTTTTAGTAATATTATTTTACACATAGTAAATTCGATAACGTATAATTAGCATATATAAACATTACTATAAAAAATTTGCTTATTTATTTCCAAAACAGAAATATACAGTGTTTACAAATTTCTTAACTAGTTATACAGTCATAAGACATATTTCCTAATCTATAAACGGAAACACCCACGCGTGTTCTCACGAAATATGCTGACGGACTGTCTAGCTCCCAGTCTCGATTATTAGATATTAAGTTAGTCTTAAGCTAATCACCAATGTAACCGGTCGAATAAATATTAATTAAAATAAAATTATTCTTTTTTAAAAACGCTCCAGCGCGACCTCGCGTTTTGACTAACTAACATAGTAATAATAATAATAAAAAATGGATTAATAGAAAAAGAAAACAAATTGAAATAGTTTGGTCCCTGTGGCAGTGTACCTTTAATGCTGGCAGCATTTCCTCGTTGTAGTGATTATTTGTGTAGTAGAAACATGTATAATCTATAAAGTATAATAAAAAAAAATATTGTTTTTCATTAACAAAAACATACTAGTTTCGTGTGTCTACTGGCTGAACTAAATGTTCGCCATTAAAATTTAAGTCATCCTCCTTTCTTCATCTCCTCCTTTATTAATGTCCCACGAAACATCGTACATTAAGTTACATAATATTTTACAAAAAACTCTTTGTGCTAGCGAAATTTTACTCATTTAATATTTTCCTTAATTTAAGACATACAGGCTCATGCGCGTTGAACTCGTTTATACTACCGTAGGACGTATAGATGTGGTACCACGAACATAAAATCGAATAGCTATCGTAATTATACATTTGCGTAAACAAACAAACAAAAAATAAAAGTCTGGAAAGTTTTAGAAGTATTTTGTGCGTATTTACTAAACGGAAGCCCAAATAGAATACGTGTACTATAAAATTTGTTTGGAAAGTCGACAATTCTGACGTACACGAACACTGTCGTTAATTTGCACTAAGGCCTGGGGTTTAAGTGCTCATGTAATTTGTACAAAGTGACCTTTATGTATAAGTTAAACTTTACCGTGTTTCGAATCTCAATTTAACATAAAGTCGAGGCTAAAATAAATTTTGCTACATAATTAATAATTATGTTAGTAAAGCAATTTTTTTAATTTACGAAAATGCTTAATTTACACAAAAATTAACAGTACATAACATTTTTTATTATTTTCATATTTCTAAACACATATAAACAATAGCGTTAAATAGTTAGCGTTATATGTAGGAGGCCTGGCTATAATAGTATCAAACACTTAGAAACACCAAGTCAGTCGTCTGTATAACATTTGAATAATATAAAGCTTGGGACAAATATATAAGAACTAGTTTAGTTTAATTTTCCATTTATCCATTTTAATTATTATTACATTACTATGTAGAATTTTAAGAATATTGTCAATAGTATATTTGTTGGAAATAAAATTATACAAATTCTAAAAATTCTTTGATAAATTTGTATTAAAATATCTGAAAATGTTAAATGCAGTGTGATTCTTTATAATTAAAGTATGTCACAATACAAAAGTTCTCATCACGTGACCAGAATTTTGATCGTCTTGTTCACCTTGAAATGGCTGGTTGTCCATCTGATTAATATTTAATTTGCTATGAAAATATAACGAAGACACCATTAGTGTATGTTAAATACTTGATTTAATAAATCTCATATCCGTATAGGAACTGAAGCATATTGTTCGCATTCGCTGTAAGTATTTTTAAACTTAAACATTTTTCCAACAATCAATTATGGCGCTGTGCATATGAGATCATTTAAAAGGTCAGTTAGACTTCTTTTTTCAATTATTGTTTTGCTCACCTGCCTTTAAGTAAGTAAACAATGTGAGAGCAATTTTAATTTTAGTTAACAAATATGTATTTTTATGTGGGAAACTTTGTACTTTACCAAAGAATAAATCAGGAAGGCTAATGGATAACCTTTACTTCCTGCCTGTTATAAGTTTAGCCTAGCTTTTGAAGACATTTTTGGCGCGTTAGGGAAAAATTATGAGGGTAAATTTTTACACTGTCACAAAAAACCGACATCCTGAAGTAAGCTATAGTCAAAATTTTAGTTTTTTCTATTGTAAGTGTCGTTTTTTCTACAAACGTAAAATCAAATTTCAAAAGATTTTTGCGAACTAGATACGACCTCCAACGTAAAAAAGCGTATAATATATTCCTCCCTAAGTGACCGGAAATTCACCCACTTATTCGATTGCCTTACAATCATGGATTATATTTATATCACAATTTAAAAAAGTTTAGTAGTTATCGCAACTCAAGGTGCTAGCCTTGGATATTGCAAGAAATGCCGAAGTTCAATGAGAAAAATGGTATGACAGTTCTTTGCACTAATAATAATAATATTGGTTTTATAATTTGAGTTTACTTATGTGATCCTATATATGTTATGTGTCCATTCAAACCTTTAATTTATGTTTAGTGTATATCCAAAGCGCGGAAAGTTACTATAATAAAGAAATAATAATTACTAGTAGTGCATAATTATATGGAAATCAATGTCTCAAATCGAAATATTACGATTGACGAAATGTCATGTCATGTAAATAAACATACATTTAACTAACACTGGATTAAAGTGTTCATTTGAATTATTTATCTACAGAAAGACGTTTGATTACTCAGTGGTGATCAGCGAGTGCGACAGTATTGTAATAAATTCCCATTCAAAACCACTAAATTAGGTTTAAAATGACGTTTCCAAAGATAAGTAAAAAACAATTAGTCTCTAAGCTTCAATGCACGCAAAACATCTAATACGTTATCGTTATATTATGATAATTAAATGCATTTTTGTACGATAAAGTGTATTTATTATATTTTTTTTCCAATTAGTCAGGAATGTTATTTATAGTATATATTTATTAGACTTTTCAAAGGCGGAAATAATAGTTACCTAGATAGGTATCATTCCAAAGAATCATTATGTAAATATGTTAAACGCATTCTCTAATGCATGCATATAATGTGTATTGATTACATAGACAAAACCGAAACAGATTTCTTGAGGTAAGTTCGGACAATTGTAAGACTTTGATAAAAAATTATGTCATGCTAATTTATTTAGGAAATATCATTTATTCGATGATTTAAAGTCCTTAGTTCATGAACATTTAAGAACACACCCGTCTAAGAAACTTGCATATAATTTTCAAGCTTTACTTAGCTTAAAACAACAAATAAAGATTTACGATTCGAGAATTCAAAGTAATATCAATACAATGTTGCTAATCATAAGTTCTGGGTATGGAATGACCGCAGAATGTCTTTGTGTATAAAATGCTCTATTAGTTTTTTGTCAATTAAAAATCAATTTTCGAGTCACGAACGGTCTATATATAATGTCTTTATTCAATTTTACCAATTGTGTTGTGAAATGTACTTAGTTGTTACATGATATTTGTATGGACAAGACATAAGCTATGTTACAAAACTTGCAAAACACGGTTTTGGCAAGGCAAGTTATAACTTATAACCGACCTTCAGTCATCCACAAACAACGACTGGACGGTACTTTCTCTTTGAGACCTAAGTAATACATGTAAGCTAGTGAATAAAAACTCCTTTCACTTACCTCCCAAGGTCTGGCCATCTAACACCGCTGCCATAATTGTCACAATAAAAAAAGAAAACCACACATTTCCCACCATTTTGTAAATTCAATTTAAATTATACGTCGACGCGGCTCTGACATTCTTGCCGACTGCTATTTGGCATCACGCGTTACGGTTACCGTTTTCCACTCGTTATTCAAAATTAAACCTAATACCTTTAACACAACGTTTAAAATCAATCACTCGTTTAACAGTGCAAACCAAAGAAAAATACATAATATATTTTAGACCTTATTGTGTTTGTGTTAGAGTTAAATTTAGATTGATTTATAATAGTGTTTTTCCTTGTGAAGCATGGTTGTTGAAAGTGACTTTACCAGTTCCACAGACGTATAGTTTTACAAAATGTTATTATGGAGCTCGTTTTGTGATTCATGAATGAATCAATGTGATACTAGGAAAAGGGCTCAATCCACGATATATATACATGTATGTGAAGCTATTATTTACTTTCATAGTTCATTTATATTGGTGGTTTTAGTTACATAAAATTTGTTTTTTTTTATTGATAAAAGCTTGCCAACGCTCGGCACACTGAAACGTTGGTAAAACAACAACATAATAATACATAACAACATAAATTTAATGTGACCAGCACTTAAAGGCAAACATGACATACATGTAGAGATCATACAAATATTAATCAAAACAAACATTAAAAAAAAACAATTACTAATCAAACAATTAAAATATAAAAAAAACTAAACAAAAATCGATTTTAATTTATGATTATATAGAGAAAAAGGTGATTTCTAAAATAGAATCTCATTCACTCCTTATGAACTTCCACTCTATTGTACACCCTTGAATGGAAGACGGCATCAAGTCACGGAAGTTACAACAACGCGGCACGCTGAAAACCTCTAGAACACCTGGATGATGACCTCCTCATTAGAGTAAACAAAGACTGTGGGATGGGTGATGTCTTATTACATGTCATTAAATTGAGGGTAAGCTTTATACGAGTATAGTGAAAGAAAACATCGGTGAAATATACGAAATTTATTAGAAACGGTCAAAAAATTAATACAGTGAAACCTGGTTAATTGGGATCTCAAGGGACCAAGACATATGTACCAATTATTGAGGGGAGGACGATGCGAAATGTATGTAAACAAACACGTCAAAATGTGTTGAAACCTGAATAATTTGTCTCACTTATACAGGTAATTGAGCTGCAGAGTCTCAATTATAGAGGACAACATCAAAAAAGTCTTAGAATTCAAATCTTATTTAACCAGGTTCAAAAAGTCCCATTAACAGAGGTAATTTAATGAAAAAGAACCGGGACTTCGTTGCAACTCTCAATAATAGAGGTTTCTCATTTATCCAGGGCCCACTTAACCAGGTTTCACTGTAGTACAAAATATCCCAAAAATTAAAATAACATTACAAATCTTAATATGTACTATTAGAAATATAGCATTATTATGATCAGTGCTACATAACTATCATTAAACCGACTTTTGTAATGATCCAGATGCAATGTTTAGCAGTTTTGGATGACAGATGAATTTTACATTTTGCTATGCAATTTGTGACAGGCGCGCAGTAAAATAAATTGTCGATAAGAAGAATATATCCTCTTTCCCCAACATGAGAGTTTAATGAAACATAAACGTTTTATATTCGGTCCAAGATAGTAAGACCCATGCGTTCATCACCTGCGCATCAGCGGCGTGATGCCGTTCTCCATCTCTTATACTCCTATATCCTAAAAACTCCTTCTTACCTCAAGAACGATTTGAAATTTCAAAAATCTGTATCCTTGTAATCTTATCGCATAACTCATTACTAACATTAAGGGTCTCCGCAGTGAGGTAATGGAATTCACCTAGCTATCCGCAAGCTCCTTCTCTTTCTTCTTTTACATCTCTACTATACTAGTATTACCTGTCCACGTCGTCCTTTCGTACTACTGAAATTAGTGTGATTTTTGTGTCCTTTTTCATTGTCTAGATATGTTTTAATAGCTTTGTTTGTATGTCTAAGTAATTGTATATCATATATGCGCTCACCTTATTTAATTTTCTTTTTCTTTCCAGTGGTTACCTGGAATAGATCGCTTGAAAGCGATAAGATCCTTATAATTCAATTTTTTTTAAATTTACAATTTTTCGTGCAATAGTAACATCCAAGTAATCCAACGATTCCAAAACAAAGTGCTCAGGGGAATAGTCAATGCTCTCTGGTTCATTCGCAATTACGACCTCCATCGGGACCTTAATGTAGAGGACGTCGTCACAGTAATAAAAAAAACTGCCGGAGCCCACGAACATAGGCTCCACCATTACGTGAATGTCGAGGCTATTCAACTCCTTAACACCACGGGCCTAGTGAGAAGATTGAAAAGGACAAAACCGTTTGAACTAGTGTTAGTGCTCGTTAGAACAAAGTGTCTTCCCTTTAATAGAGACTGTAAGTAGTGTTCTTATGTTAAATATCCTTTTTAATAAATTAGGTAAGACTTAAATTACTTATTATTCTTAAGTTAGGCTAGATCGTAATATTCCATGATGTCTTAATGAAGACACATGTATAAAAAAAAACTATATTTCGTGCAATGAAGTGGTGAAAAAACCTCATAAATAAAACACATACTAACGAATAATATTTATTTAATACCAAGAGATCAATTTTAAATGCAATAGTCATTTTGATAAATTAAAACATAGTCACAAATTTAATATTATTAAAATTTTTACATCTTAAGCTAATAAATATACACTAAATTAAGGTTGTGTCTTTATATTTAGAGAATAATATAACAAATAGTCAATAATTTAAAAAAATATGTGCCATTCGTGTCAAATTTCAATTAAAAAACCCTTTTGTTAACTAACAAAATTAAGGTAAAATGTGACTTATAAGAATCACACTTGTTTAATAGCATTATATAAAATAAATCGTTTATTTGCAAAGAAAGTGGTACATTAAGATTGATTAATTATAAAAATTCGCACAATCAGCCATGTAAAAATAGGCATGCAAATGTCATATTAATTGTTATAAAGTCATATAATAAGAACATAATGTCATAATAAAATGTTAAGTTATTTATAATTGTTGTCGAACTTATGGTTTAAATACTCGCCAGTCGCCCATATTGACAAAAACCGCGAAATTTGTTTTAAAATCGATTTAATTGTACTCGTAACAATATGATTTTGGTATCATAAGTATTAAATTATTGTTAATTACTTTTACAGTTTGAAATTAGAAATGTATTTAAATCAATATAATAATAAGGCCGGCAACGCACTCGCGAGCCCTCTGGCATTGAGAGTGTCCATGGGCGGCGGTATCACTTAACATCAGATGAGCCTCCTGCCCGTTTGCCCCCCGTTCTATAAAAAAAAATATATAATAATAACAGTAATATTAGTATCGTTTCGACTAAATTTTAAATGATGTTTTTTTATTTTTTTGTTGTATATATACGATTTTTCGGCACCATTTTTATGTCTATTTTTGCCAGTGTGTTTGTTCTCATTTAGTAGTCCAAATAAAATAACAACATACCGAAGTTAAAGAGCTAACTGTTGTAACTGAAATATTCAACAAAATTTGGCTATAACTTAATTGTGTTTTTAATTAATAATTTGTTTTAAAAGTCTATATAATTACTAGTAGGATTAATGACATCTCTAATCCAGGCTGCTGTAGTCAAAACATTGTGGTATATACCAGGTTGGTGATCGACTCCACAACCGAATCCAGCAGATGTTATTCCAACAAGGAAGAAGCGCCCGTTTTCCTTTACTATAAGAGGACCCCCTGAATCACCTAAAAGTGGATATTTTATTTATTTCGTAATCCTACAGTTAATATAAATTATATACAACAAAAATAGTTATACTAAACATAAAGCCAAAAATGGAGCACATAATATATACAAAAAGGTTCAAACAATTACGAAAGGAAAAAATCAATAAAAAAATTTAACGGCTGTGCTGTGTGATGGTGTGAAAGTGAGGGTGTGTACGAGTGGGTGTGTATGTGGGGTGTGCTCGTGATGCAAGTGATTTAGCGCTATAGATATTCTTAGAGCTACTTAAGCATATGTCGTGGTAGCTTTAAGTTTTCTTTTTTTTACCTAAGCAGGCGTCTTGGTGTCCGTCGGAATGTCCTGCGCAGATCATCTCCGAATGTATTTGTACTGAAATCTGTTTGCTCTGGTGCCATTTGATGCATTGGTCTATACCTAAAAGAATCGAAATTTTAAGTAAAAGACACCTCATTGGTATCTGGAAGAAACGGCTTCCGGCATTTAAGTTTAAGCAGCCGCCTTATTTAGATAAGAAAAAAAGTATTTTCTATTATATATAAAGTAGTGATGCAACCCATACAACTATTCGTTCGTAGTTCGTTAATCGGAATTACCCATACATTGAATGAATGAACGGACTTATCAAGTTCTCAATGTCAACATTCTATTATTACCTATTTGTTCTTTCACCCAGTTTTGTTGGATTATTATTAATAATTAATAAGGTTAGGTGGTTTTCTGGGGTGAAGATTTTTATTTAAACCACCTAACCAAGAAATCAAAAGCAGTTAACAAGAAAACAGAAAGTTACAGTTGTGCTTTTCGAGCAAAAAATTGCAAGTGGTTAATTTTAATTATTAAATATCTTACTAAAAAAGAAAAGTGTGTTTTATTTATTGCGTTGTTGATTTATTCGTATTCGTTCAGTTAGTGTTGGATCACTAACATAAAGTAAAATATTTTTACTTTTTGCCTTTTTCTCATGTTATTATTATATTGGTTCTTCAATGATCTCAAAATTTAGGACGACTTAAAAAAAAAATGGCCGACTTCTGCACGACAAAAATGTTTCGGCCGTTCAGGGCACGAATAATTGGACTTCAATATCTAATACTATCTCCATCTCGACTTCCTTTAATAATTTTATTACTTGATTAACGTGAAACTTGAATTGGAAAATCCTGCTTACTCTATAGGTATCATCTATAGCCTTAAGAGTATCAAAACATACGAAAGTACTGATGAGAATCTAAAGATACTGCCTGCG